CGATCGCGCGCCAATGTTTGTTTCAGCACGCTCTTGTCAATCAGACTCTCGAACCAATTGTATTGGCTCTTGGTGTAATATTGCTTTTTGAATATTCCTTGCACACCCCCCGATCTCATTCTTCTCTCGTGATACGCATATCAAGTCTTCTCCCATGTCGCGGTATGAAACTTTGCGACATTCCTTTGGGTTAAGCAGATAGTAGAACGCGCAAGTAATTATCAATAAAATTCTTTCGCTCTGTATGTTTCATTTTGTTCTGACCCTTAAAGCCGTCGATATCGAAATGTTTCCAAAAAGCTCTTCCAACGTCTAGGTGGACGTCTTGGAAGACGGATTTTCCCAAACTAAAATTGCGCAATCGAAGAGTTTTAGTAATTATTGGTTATTCGCAAACGCAAAATTCGTTGACAATGCTTGATAATACACAGATAAGTTACCTGCCAAAAAAAAAACGAATTTCCCCTGGGTGACATAGTCCAGTCTGCAAGTAATAACGCAAATTTAATTATAACTCCGTTTATAGTCACAATACTGCCATCAAATGGTACTTACGCTTCGCTGAAAATTCGTTTCATATGATCTAAATTAAATTCACAGAGTCTAATCATATCAAACAAAGAAGATAAAAGTAATTAGGTTAATTGATTTTCATTACACGAAAAACCGTACAACTTAAATCGAATATCAACGTACAGTTGGTCTGGTGTGGTTTGCCCGGATCCATTATCGGTATATTCGTTCACGATATTTGGGATTTGGGGTGCTGTCAACCACTGTAAGTATTGTCAGTCGGGACATCTTCGAAAGTGTTGTCATAGGGCAGTCGCCTGGAACTACCGGATACAGAACCATTTTCATCTTTAACCGCCGAGAGCCCTCATTATTCTCATTTCAGCTGGCTGTTGTTTATTGGCCTGTTTCCGAGCCAAATTTTCCTCCTCTGTTGGACGAATCCCGGCGTCAATACGTGGATGGAAAGATGGTGACTATGCCGAAAGATGACGATGACTGAGAATATATATATAACTGAGAATATACCGATGGTTGAGAATATGACGATGACCGAAGAACTGAGGATATACCGATGACTGATGACTGAAGAGATGATGATGATGACTAAAGAGATGCCGATGACGATGACTGAAGAAATGCCGATGATTGAGGATATAAAATATGACTGAGGAGTAGATGCCGATGGTTGAGGAGATGGAAAAGATAGCCTGACGAGTTGATCTGCTGTGTTGGCGAATTTCCCGGCTTGTTTGTTAAAACGTACTTTCCAGTGACCGGATTTGGACGGCTGCTACTAAGATAAAGGCTTTTTTCCCCTACATTCCCTTTTGAAATAATCGTGCTTAGTAAGGTGAACGAAACTAGCCTTAAACCAGACCGTCTTGTCAGGACAATGTAAGAGCGACATCCCAAGATATATTGCCGATGATTGAGATGACGATGGCTAAGAATATACATATGGCTGAGGAGGCTGAAGAGATTGAGATGCTGGTGACTGAGAATTGACGAGATGCCGATGGCTGAGGAGATAGAAAAAGGATAGCCTGCCGAGTTGCTCTGCTTGACGAATTTCCCGGCTTGTTTGTTAAAACGTACTTTCCAGTGACCGGATTTTGTACGGCTGCTACTAAGATAAAGGCCCCCACATTCCTTATCACGTTTTTGAGCCTTAAAGCAGACCGTCTTGTCAGGATAATGTAAGAGCGACATCCCAAGATGTCTACGACGGCGAAGCTAGATGTTTTTAAAAGACATACTATGTTATAATTATGTATAATTATGTATTGTTATATACATATACGATAACAGCAAATCTAATATATTACCGCAATCTTTTCCAGCACTCCAAGCTTTTTCTTAGCTTGTTCAATATCACGTTTCTTGAATTTTCTGAAAAACGACAAAGAATCAAATGTTAGTCAAACTATTGTTGTCCACATATCTCAACCACGGTATCTACAACTCCGTTGATATCATCCTTACCCGTCTAATTTAAATTTAAATCACTATTTACATTCACATCTTTGGATACAGGCGTGTAAAACTCTTTTTTGGGCATGCCAAGAATGGCTTCAATGTCCACAACGCGATCATCAAATCGGAAATTATCGCGAGTATCCTCTTCCTCGCATATCGACACCGTTCGTGTTAACAGAAAGTGGAACTTCTTCGTCGGTATGGTCATCGTAGAGTCGGTTTGTTATCTTAAAAATGACGTGATATCAGCCACGCAATAAATAACGTTTGTAAAATCTATACTTAAATATAAAGTGGGTGGCTACCGGAGCGAAACAAAAAATATGTGCCTATTCACTATGAAATGTGAAAAAAAAAATTATCACGTGGTTTGTGGTGTGCATTATCAGCGGGTGCCACAATCACTTTCCATAAAGGTTTTCCCGATAAATTACTATTTTCAGACCCGACAAGGTTGAATTGTATTGATAATTTGCGACACCAGCATTGTGGAATTTCTTTCATTATTCGACTGCTGTTCATTCATCTAACAACGAGGATGGGCTGGAAGGGACAGAACAAGCTCTGGGAAGGAAAAATTGGCTTAGAGATAGACTTTGGTGATGAATCAATAGAGGAGAAAAGGAAGATGGTGGTTTGATACGCTGTGTAGGAGGGGGAGTGGACGATCGTTAGCGAAAACTGGATGAAAGCAGAAGGAACACTTAGAAACGTGATGATAATGTGGGAGACGGAGTTATCATATTAAGACGAAAACTCGGAAACTAATTGTAAGATCAGCAAGGATACCCGGATAAGACTGATCGGATACATACAATTTATAGTGCAAAATGGGACTCAGGCATAACAAGGGAGAAAGGGGGAAGATGTTGACCGAAGTTGAAGATAAGAGGGGTGACGGAAAGCTTTATATTTCTAATCACTTTTGTGTTAACCCAACAATCGCCGATTGGAAATTTGTGACTTACCGAGAAACTCGTCAAAGAGCTTTGGCAGCTTAAAGACTAACGGGAATTGGGAATGACAAGAGAACATGAAGATCATGTTAACGTTTATGCTGTCAGAATAATGTACTAGACATTGATTAGATCATTGAAACGTTGATGTGTCAGTAAATGTAAATGCTATCACCATCTACTGTAGATTCCGACGAACATTAGAGGATCAAACTGAACCAATGAATCTAGATGAGATAATTCAAAATCAGTAGCGGTAAACAATCTATGCCGGTGTTTGGCGATACTTTCACCAACTACGTTGCCGAACACTTGAACTGTCCAAACATTGTGATGTATTTGGAAATGATTAAAATCCTCAATATCGGATTCGCTAAACAAGTTGATGAAATGACGCTTGGATTGTGGGTCCGTCTCCACGAGGCTATTCATGATCTTTGCGTGAGACCCGCCCGGCAGATGACGGTAGCGCTGCGTTCAGCAATCACCCCACCAACAAGTATTAACAGGGACATTATCATCTGAAGAAGTTATACTGAAAGGATGGTTATGACGAAAGAGCGCGGGCATATCAGAAAGTACACGAATTCTTTAGAATATTGCATTGAATGACTTAATTTTACGCCGGAAGGGGGAGACTTCACGAGGCTAAAGACGTGTGTATTAAGGTAAGGTGGGAAATTTACATAACCGCTGGAACATTGACATTATTTACCTGTATTACTAATTTGCTATTTTTGTTTAGTCGCAAGAATGTATTGCCTCATATAGTTATTCTGGAGAATATTGAAAAGTTGACATCCTTAAGATTATAATTGGTATTTATTAATAAGTTTATGTTAAATATTATATTTTACGTCCGTCGTATAGTATACTCACCACGCGATTAATCCATATGATCTCGGTATGATCGTAGACGCAATTTCCAAGAAAAAGCCGAGAACTCCTAAACGCCAATTATTTCCTGATTAAAGCCAGTGTTTTACGTTGAGATATCGTGATGTGCCGCAGTTATTTCTTATACAATACCGAATCAAATGGTGCCCTGGATGAAAGATAATAGAGCATTGAATAAAGAGCTTTGGGTACGTTGAGATTTATGGATTCAGAAAATCAAGAGAAAAAGGTCTAGGGAAGGGATTGTCATGCATAACTTAATATTTTTGATTCTGTCTAGGCTTCCAAAGTAACACAATCTTAAGATTGAGGCTGAACGTAATGCGGAGCTTTATTTCTTTTATATGGAGTTGGAAGTTAGGTGGTGGCGGAATTACGAGTGGAGACGTATCTACCTACGTTCACAGTTAAAGTTTTGCTCTGCCTGATAAGTCATTCCGTCGCGTCCCGCTTTTAAGTACTGTACGCAAGACAACACTAGGCCACCACGGGTTACTGTTTCGACGGAGAAAACGGACGAGAGAGTGACAGACTAATGAGTCTACTCGGAACTCAATGGCAGCATTGAGGGAAAGCCAACACCAGCAAAGTGTTTTTCTCAGTCGCTATCGCAAAGATGGATCACACCAGGAGTGCGGATCAATATCGGAAGTATATCATATGCGTTGTATTCACTTAGTGCATATGGATTTTTTTATTTTGATATTATCAGCCTTTACTGTTGTGGTGGCGGGCTTTATCATAGATATTGAATGAGCATGAGGGGTTCGCGTCAGTATGCTATAATCACAGTTCTTCTTTTCCTGCAAAACTATGAAATGTAATGAATAACATCTCTTTTCATTGATATTGCTGTTTGTTATTAAAAGATTAATACCTTTCGTTAATAGTCCGCGATAGATTATTAATATCATATCACATTATAATACAGTG